CTGATTTAAGAAAAACATATCTCCCATCATATTATATTAATTTTCCAACAAACAAAAAATTTTATCAAATTATGTCATCAAAAAACAGTAATATAATTAGAAAAGTATGTTTATTTATTTATCATGCATTTAAAAGAAAGGAAAACAAAGAAACACGGGTGTATTAATGCAATTTATTTAAAGTACAGCATTGTCACAGCATGCTTATTTAATTTGTAATAATTTTGTTTTACAAGGGGCCGGAGGCCTGAAGTTTGATGAATAAATTCCCTGTATGGGAGCATGAAATACCATGGGAACCCCGGTCCCAAAAGTGATCTTTAATTGGAGGGAGAGACCGGTAATATGTTCGGGTCCTCCTTTAATTTATACTAACAAACTTATAAATTTATTTATTTATCAGTGTGATTAATCTGCTCAATAAACAATTTTAATTACTTGTGCAAATATAAAGATGTGAACAACTTTTCATGGATCTCGACCTGCTATGTAGGCCTCCTTTAGGCAAGACGCGCCCAGACGGTTGAAGCGACGATCGAAGAAAAACGATTAAGCAAACCAAGGACTTCGCTAACTTCCATTCCTCAGTATTAAAATCCTTCCATTGATGGGCACTGTCTAAAACTTTCTTCCAGCTTATCCATCAACTAAACTGTAATTAGCACAATCATTAACAATGACCAAAAATTAAAAGGATATATCAATGGCAGATTTTCAGGTGAAAGTATCAGACTAATCGGTGATCTTCTTGAATATACGGACAAAAATTAAAAAGAAGGGGCCTTAATTTTTATAGATTTCGCAAAAGCTTTTGACTCCGTTGACAAGCAATTCATGTTTAAATCACTAAAATGTTTTGGTTTTGGGGAGAGTTTTATACATTGGGTGGAAACAATGTATAATGAGACACAACATTGTTTATTTAACAATGGATGGATATCGGAAGGCTTCTTAATGAATTTCGGGATTCGTCAAGGATGTCCCCTTTCCGCGTTACTTTTTATTTTGGTCGTTGAACTGATGGCCATTAATATCAGAAACAATTCATTATGTGAAGGCATTGCATTACCATCACTTCCGCATACAAAAACAGAAAATACTGTAAAAATAGCCCAATTAGCAGACGATACTGTAATATTTGCAAAAGATGAGGTCAGTATAGCTCACTTTTTCAAGGAAATTGAAAATTATTGTACTGTATCTGGTCTTAAATTAAATAAAGACAAAACCAATGATTTGTGGATTGGTTCTAACAAAAACAAAACAAACAATCAAATTTATTCGAATTTCACAAATTTCGACTTCTGGAGGAATTCAAAATCCACCCACTCCTGTGT